CTGACACCATGTAACTAGCAAAAACGACGATACAGCATGATGGCCAGAACAAGAAGTGGTATCGGTTTATTCAGTCACTGATTATATAGGCGCACGATAGCGCGCCGTGAGTATCTGCGCATGTCCGATGCACAGTCGTGATGCAAATAGCCTTGCCGGATACAACTTTGTCAAAAGCTTTTTCGAAGTTTAAAAAGAGCGTGTCTACTGGTATATTTACATCAATGCTAGAGCTAATGTCATTAGTAAACAGAGCTAGTTGAGTGTCACACGAAACACCTTTCTGAAAGCCATGTTGGTTTTTATGAAAGAAATGAAGAAGTGCAAGAAAGTTGACTATGTCGGAATAGATTACGTGTTCCATTATTTTAGAGCATACACTTGTGAGCGAAATGAGACGATAGTTTTTGGGTGAATACGAGTTACCTTTCTTTGGGATTGGAATGACCTTGCCTACCTTCCAGTCTTGGGGCACCACTCCAGATTAGAGTGCTTGCTGAAAAATGTTAGATAAATCACACTTGTTACAATTTTAGTGTTCTTCAATATTTTTGTGTCAATGCCATCTATACCCATTGATGAAGTAAGCTTTAACGAGTCGATTATCTTGGAAATACCAATTGCATGAAATACGATTTTCGACATGATCGGGTGGCATACAGGAAGGGCATGGGGAAGGTCATCGTCAGGTTCTATGGTGAATACAGAGCAGAAGGTTTCGTTTAATACATGCGAAGTGTAGTGTTCAGGAATTTAAACATTTTGTTCGTCGCGTAGTGTAATGTTCGATGAAGGGGTAATAGATGATGGGTTAATTGTTTTCCAAAATTGCTTAGGATTTTTTCGGAGCATATCAGGTAAGTTAGAAGATTAGAAAGAACGCTTGGCTTTAGCTGCGAGAGAATCAAAAAGCTTTTCGGTTGCCTTGTATTTGTCCCACGCGTACTGGGTGTCTGAATGCTTAGCGGAGCGGAACTGGCGCTTCTTTTTATTTTTAAGACGTTTTAGTGAGGTGTTGAACCATGGGGATGTTGACCTTATGGTTAAGGTGACGGTGGGAACGTGAACTTTTATCAGGTGCTGTAGTTTGGTTTTAAATAGGTGCCAGTTTGTTTCGACAGTGCGCATAAAAAAATCGGTTAGAAAGGATTCAGAGAAAGCTGTTAGTTCATCGTTTATAGCTCTGTAATTGCCCTTATCGTATAATGTGATTGTTCTCTTAGTTTTCTTGGAATTAGGTAAGTAGCCCTGAAAGGTTGTCTGAAGAACAGAGTGATCGCTAATGGCAGATAAATATGACACTGTACTAAAATTATCAGGGTGAGACCTAAGCAATAGGTCTAGAATGTTGGAGGAGTGTTCTGTTTGTCGAGTAGGTTTAGAGATAAGTTGTGATAAGCCGAATGTTAAACAAGAGTTTAAGAAGTCACTTTCAGCGTTGTGTTTTGATGCAGTTAGTGCTACATTTGACCATGTTATTCCGGGGAAATTGAAGTCACCAAATAAAATAAGTGGGGCGTTTGGAAATGCAGTTGTGACAGAATGGAAATGTTTTGTGAAAGACGTATCGGCTTCAGGTGGGCGGTAACACACTCCGATTACAACAGGTGGATTAGACGCTTGGCAATGCACAAAAAAGATTTCTAAGGGAGAGGGTACATCAACTATGGAGCTCTGAACACTGTTATGGGCGGCCATTGTGTCACCACCACCACGTTTATTTTCTCGATCGCGCCGAAAAATTACAAAATCAGGGAAACAGCACTGTAGTTCGGTGTTGGAAATGGATGAATTTAGCCAAGTTTCGGTTAGAACTATAAAATTTCAGTCAGTGGTATCTGTTATGTGCGAAAGTGAGTCGCGTTTGGGCAGGATACTTCTTATGTTCGTATATACGAAAGACAGAGCTGTGCGTGAAAATTCTCGCTGAAAAGAGTCATGTGATTGCTACCGTGGCTGTCGAATGACCTTCTGCTCAGTAGACGTTGACTGCATTTGCCTTTGGGAAGTTCAAATAGTAATAAATTTCATGCAAATCAAATGCAACAGCAAATGCTATCAAAAAAATATTTGAAATTTCTAATATTTGCGCACTCCTTAAAATATAGGTTTGAAACACTATTAAAAAAATATTTGGAATTTCTAATATTCATGCACTCCTTAAAACTTGGGTTTGAAGGGCACATGAAACAAATAGTAATTTAATCAAATATTTTCAATTGAATTCAAATATCATATATGTTTCTCATGTTATCAAGTAAAATGAGCATATGTGTCATGACCCAAGTAACCGACACAGTATTTTTAAAATTAAAACAAGGCATGTGCAGATGGAAGTAACTTTGAATAGTGGCAGTATTCTACTTTTTGTGGAATGATAGCTTGTAAAATATGTTCTTTTACAATTTACTATAGTAGTGCTTAAAGCTTATGAGCTGGTGTAAAAATGTATACATATTTATATATATACCGTATTTACTCGCATAATTTTCGCCGTTTCGTAATTTTTGCACTGCTAATATATTGTCAGCCTTACGAAAAAAAATATTTCCTCTGCGCTCCCCGACCCGCCCAAAGCAGCTCGCCCGGCGCGCGGGCGAGAACTTCGGACTTTTGAATTGTATGCACGAACTTCGCACTCGCGGCTTGATTGACTGCGCTAGCCTGGTCAGCGTGGTGGGCGCGCTGGCGCGCCCACCACGCTGATCAGGCTAGCGCAGTCAATCAAGCCGCGAGTGCGAAGTTCCTTCTTCCGAGGACTTCCTCCGAACTAGCGTTACTAGAATACCATACTCAAACACCCAAATCTATTGACGGGTCTACGCTGACGGGTCGCCGGAACCGCTCTAGCGTTTTCCCAATTCTTTCCTCCATGGTTTCCCCCCCTCTTTCTCTCCATCTTTACCACCGTAGGCATACCCGCTCGCGTCACAGCACTGATAACTTTCGGCTCCGTAGGCTTGCAAGGGCCTGTCGTGCCAACTTCTCCTCTCGTGTCTGCGTCTGCACTGCAATGCACGCTTGGTTGATTTCGGAAGTTTAAGTTTCGTTATCCGTCCTCCGCATTTTTACTGTTAATTTGCGATGGGCTACAGTAATTATACATACGACAAAATTCAAGCTCACTATTATAAACCTTGCCGATGAAAACGAGAATCGTGCCAATGCCGAGCACTTCATGAAGTGCTTCAATGTGCGACGATCGGCGTGATCGGTACAGTAGCAAGCAGAAGAGTCCGCGCTTGCTAATACAAGTTTCCTGCCCGTTCAAGGCCTTTTCAGCTATATGCGAACGCTTAGGCCCTCCGGTATCGCTGTGTCTTGGGACCTAGTTTCTCTCAACATTGTCGAGAAGAGCTTAAAAAAAATGGGACATTCGAAGGCAGTGAACAGAACCAAGGGGGATATGCATGGAAGAGCAGTGACAGCGGCCGCGATGATGATTTTCAATCGGGCCTCTCGATCAGTGATTTCGACAAGACTGCGCTTGACCAGATCTGACTGGTTTAAGTATGCGCTAATGCTTTTAAATAAACAAATGCACTTCGTTTGTGCTCTAAGTTATTAACTTTTTACAACTATTTTTACAACACATTATTTTGCATGTGTTTGCCAAATCACTGCGTAATTTGCGCACCCCCTTCTCAGAGCCCCAAAATTGTGAAAAAAAGTGCGCAAATTATGCGAGTAAATACAGTATATACAAGGTGTCCCAATTATCACGCAGCATGATTTAAAGAATATAGGAACCGCATTACGCGAACCAAACCTAGTGCATATTCTTCTCAGTATAGTGTAGTAACCACCACTCATTTTTTGTTAGTGACAATTAATTAGTTATAACTATATATCTGCAACTCGTAAATACTCTCCGATTTATCTAAGTGTCAGTGAGGTAGATGTGCGCATGTTGAAACATCATCTGTATGTGCTACTTTTGACAATGTACTAATTGCACCCTCATTTTTTTATGCAAATAAGGAAGGCCCGCAAAATATAAAAAATGACACGTCACTAAACGGCTGCGAGCATCTGTAAACAGCGCCCTCAAACGAGCTAATTTTGAAGTGGCCAGTATCAATGAAAGACATGCAGCAAGAAAAATACAGATTGCGCTATCTGCCTCAGTTATTTTAGACAGGCTACAATCAGAAATGTTCCAGCCCCTTTATCAATGAAAACAGTTGACCATGAGATATGAAAAATGATAGTGATGCAGAAACAAGTGAAAAGAATAGCTGCAAGACTTCCGCACATGTTGGCACATTTACTGTATAGTTAGAATGTGTGAAACTCTGTCTGTGGCTATGGAAAAAAGAGGCAGAGCGGTTGCTTGCAGTAAGCTCATTCAAGGGCGCTGTTTTTTTTTTTTTCGTAAGTGGCAGTGCAGTCACGTGTTATTTTTTATATTTCAATGGCTTACTTAAAAGGAAAAAATGAGTGTGCAAATAGTCTATTGTCAAAAGTAGCACAAACAGATGACGTTTGGACATGTGCTCATCTGCCTCATTGACACTTGGATAAGTAGGCGAGTATTTTTTCAGTTGTAAATATATGTGACTAATTAATAAATCATCATTAAACAAATATTTGTATTTAATACTACACTATACTGGAAACAATATGCACTAGGTTTGGTTCCTGTTATGCCGTTCCTTTTTTTTTTTTTAATCATGCTGCGTGATAATTGGGGTGCCCTGTATATGTGAAAGTAATATGTTGATTTAACATTGAAGTAGGGCTTCATGGCAGTGCAGATTTCTCCTGGATAGGTGTATTCACGGCGTAGCACTTTTTTTATTGCAGTGAAACCACTTTTACAAGGTGCTACATGCAGTTTGTGTGTCTATTTGTTCATTTCGCAAGCTTTGAAAGCTTTGAAAGTAATTTAAGAGTATTTGAAAATTTATTTGAATACTATAACCATCGTTCCAATTACTTGAATATTCACGCTTCTCAAGCTATAGCTAAACCCATCATGGCATTTTTTCTTCCCACAGGTCAAAATCACAATACTGCGGTATCTGATGACTCTGCTCCATGCGATGGATTCTGGGGACTTGCTGGTCAACACTCCAGAGACACACTCTATGGTTGCCAAGATATTTGCCTGGATACGTGATCAGAAAAGTCCTGAACTTAAGAGGGTCAGTGTGCCTCCTGTGTGGGTTTTTCTCTTCAGTGTGCGCCAAGCCACATTTGCACACGGAAGACTCCATTAGCAATCTTCATTTTTGATTGTACCAGCTGTTGCATTTTGTAGAATTCGCATGCTCTCTCTTTCATCGCAGCACGCCCAGGAAGTTATTGTGTCCATATTCAAGCTGAGGCCAGGAGAAATTAATGGATTACTGAGCAGACTTGACCCTGACAATCAGGTAAACAGTTTTGTATGTCCCTTTAGATTTCTAAGTGCTCATTCATACATGTAGACCTACACCATCATTGCCGGAACAGCCTGGCTGTGTAATCTGTGCGGCTAACTGCACCTAGCGGTAAAATCATTGCATGGAAAGCCCAACTTATTACAGTTTGTTTATTTGGCAGAAAACAGTTATCCAGTCATACCCACTTGTAGCAGTGCTCAAATGCCACTATAATTTGATTGTTATAACCAGTAGTTTTTATAAAATGAGTTGGCTGGCTGTTGTAAGAAAACTACAATATCGGATTGGATATGCCAACAGACGTCAGTGACAAGGATGACAAAGCTGCTGACTTTCTCAGACATCATTGGAAATTCGGAAGCTTACATGGGACTGCCACAAGCCCCATAGAGCCAGTATACAGCAACATCTACTGATGCCGAAAGTCTTCCAAACGTTTCACTCAAATTGCATGTCCATAGGTGTACAAACAGAAGCCACCACCGCTCCATGGCCATGGTGCATTTTAAGTCAGCTTTGCCACAATTTTTTAATGCAATGCAGTGAAACATAGAGCATAATGAACGGAGTGGTCATGATTAATTTCTGGAGCACTTGCAAAAGATGGGATTGAGAGAGACGGGCGTGTCAAAACATACACAATTTATGCAAAAGATGGACAAAGCAAATGCCTGAAATTCGCGGTAAAACACTCAAAATTAACTAACACTGTATTTACACACCAGTCTACAACGGACTGAAAACATAACTTAGGGCAATCTGCTTCAGAGCGAACTCTAGCCCTAACCGATAGCTATCCAAGATATCGTTTCAGTGCCAAAACCTTTTTACAGTATTGCCGTATAGCCACGTTGACTCTGTGCCCTCGCCGTGTCCACGGTTCGTCGATTTTGACACTGATGTACTTTTCAAGTTTCTACCGTAGTCGTGGTCCGTTTCCTCCAAACGAGCCGCTCGACTTCATTGCCGGTGTCCCGGTCCTTGTCGTCATCCCCGGCTCAGTTAGGTTACACCTAACTCGTCAATGGCATCTTGATTTTGGTCGTATCCATTTTGGCTCGAAACGGAAGAGCTGTAGTCCACCCAGAAACTGCTGGGACAGGTTTCGGCAAGTCCAGACAGCTTCACTCGAGTATTGCGAGGCCACTTCCGGGCCCTTTTCGCCAACAACCTCAGAACCGGGCGGCTCTACTGCTTCCGTCACAGTAGTGACAATGGCCTTGCTGATCTTTGCAGTTTGAAGCCCCTACGCACAGGGAGAGCTCATCCTCTGGGATTTCCCATTACAGCTCTGGCCGCATGCCACGAGCCTTTTTCCGACCAGTGTGGCACGTCTGCCCACCATAAGGGGCCTCTCGCACATGCCTCTTGCCCTCTTACTCATGGCTATTTCACTCACTACCTTTTGGCATGGACACTCAACCACCACAATTCATTGTTGTTGTCGACATAGCGGGGGTTATTTTACCATAGAAAGCACACAAATGCTAATGGTGCAGCAGCTTCTCATTGTTACAATCAATATTGTTAAAGACGGCATCGTTATAAGTGGCTTGGACTGTAGAAGGTGTAAATGTGAGAGGCTAAAGTGGTGATGCCTTCAAGACTCGCACAACTCGAGGGGACATAGCTATTGAATAGCATTGGCGTAGCAAAGTGTATGCTTGTGATAAGATTAGTTTACAGTTCCAGCACCCGGGGGCGTCGATGTTGCAATGAAATACCGGACAGTTGGCGACAAAGTAGAATGAACTTAATCTATAAAGGCAAGGGAGAAAAGGACAAGATTCGCTCGTATAGACCACTAACCATTACATCGGTATTATACAGGTTGGCAATGCAAGCAGTAAAAATGAAAATAGAAACATGGGCCGAACATAACGATATTTTGGGAGAACTTCAAAACGGATTTCGAGTCGACAGGCGGTTAGACGATAACCTGTTTGTTCTCACTCAGTGTATAGAAATATCTAAAATAGAGAATAGGCCCTTGTACGTGGCTTTTCTAGACATCACTGGGGCATACGACAACGTTAATCAGGAAATTTTGTGGGATATATTGAAAGGAATGGGCATGGGCGACGACTGTATACAGCTTTTGAGGGAGATATACCGAGAAAATACAGTTGCATAGAGTGGGAAGGAATGCGTAGCAAAGAGAACGTTGAGGTTAGCAGGGGTCTGAGACAGGGATGTCCTTTGTCCCCACTGTTATTCATGCTGTACATGGTAAGTATGGAAAAAGCGCTAGAAGGTAGCAACATTGGTTTTAATCTGTCACACAAACAGGGCGGCATGATGATTGAGCAGAAGCTTCCAGGTTTATTTTATGCGGACGATATCGTCTTATTTGCGGACAGTCGAGATGATATACAGCAGCTAGCGAATATATGCGGAAGGGAAGGTGAAGCTCTTGGACTAGGATTCAGTGTAACGAAGTGTGGTTTGATGGTATTCAATGATCCCTGTGATCAGACGGTGTCCATACAAGGCCAAGAAATACCGAGGGTAAGTGAATACAAGTACCTTGGAGTATGGGTAAATGAGAGTGATAGATACATGGAGGTACAGGAAAAAGCCTCGGCAGCAAAAGGAAAGAGGAATGCGGCAATAATGAAGCACAGAGCGTTGTGGGGATACAATAGGTATGAGGTGCTTCGAGGTCTGTGGAAGGGTGTAATGGTTCCAGGGCTTACTTTTGGGAACTCAGTGGTGTGCATGAGGGCAGAGGTGCAATCGGGAATGGATGTAAATCAAAGGACTGTGGGACGCCTCGCGTTGGGTGCTCACAGGAAGACGACAAACGAGGCTGTAAAGGGCGATATGGGGTGGGCAGGTTTTGAGGCGAGGGAAGCGCAGAGCAAATAAGGTTCGAAGAAAGGCTAAGAAATATGAAGGAGAGTAGATGGGCAGAGAAGGTGTTCCGTTATTTGTATAGGAAGAGCGTGGACACACAGTGGAGAAAAAGAACTAGAAGACTCACTAGTAAATATACGGCTGGTATTGTGAGCCATATGTCAACAAAGAGCGTTAAGGGAAAAGTCAGGGAGGCGGAGAGGATTTACTGGATGGCAGCTATGGAGAAAAAACCGGCTTTGAGTAACTACCGAAAGGGCAAAAATGAAATAAGGAGGGAGGCATTTTACGATAATTCAAGGGGAAGCGCTTTACTGTTTGAAGCGAGATCGGGTTGCCTTAGAACGCGTAGTTATAAAGCAAGATTCAGTAAAGAAGAAGAACAATGCACATGCTGCGGGAAAGATAAGGAAACGGCGGAGCATGTTCTGATTGAATGTGGAGATATCCACCCAGGTGTACGTTTGGGCACGAGCCTACAGGAAGCCTTGGGTTTTAGGGACAACAATGGAAAGCTGAACACACCCGTGATTGAAATAAGTAAGAGACGGTTAGAGTATTGGTGGCAGAAAATTAGAGAGAAAGGACAAAAATAAATATTGGAAAAATAAAATATGGACAGTGTGCCGTAAATGGCAGAGAACTTAAGCTGAAAATTTACCTTTTTTCCATTAAGATAGAATTTATCGAAGTAGAGGCATTAGGCCAACATAAAAAAAAAAAGAAAAAAGGTTTTTTTTTTTTTTGTCGAGCCTGGTGGCATACTTGTCACCACCCCGTTATAAAGGGGACGCTCATAGCATCCATCCATCCAATAAATGTGGCTCACTTGACGAGTTGGTCAGTCTGAAACCCGTCTGCGTACGTGTGTGTGATTCAGTCCAACGACGGGCATGGCCCCGCACTACCAGGTTATTTTACAAGTGGTGACAAGAGTGGGACCCAAACCCACGCGGGCGCGAGTGGGGACAAGGTCGACTGACGATTTGAGCGGGCACGTCACAATCACACGTCATCATGCCTGTTGTGGGAAGCTGGATTCGTTCGACCCGAGTACATAGGAGTTGGCGGAATACCGTCAATGAGCCGAGCTGTACTTCATTGCAAGCGACGTCCCAAGCGACAGGCAGACAGCTGTATTTTTGACATGCTGCGGTCCAGAGGCTTATTCTCTGCTACAAGACCGCCTAGCACCAAGCAGAACTGACCGAAATTTTTACCACTTGGCAAGCACTACGCCCCTCTTGTATCAGAAGTAGTGGCAAGTTTTAAGCAAGTTTTTTTCAAGGCATCGAAAATAGCGGGAGACCGCAAGTTACTACATTGCCTCGGTGAAGAAATTCGCCGAATACTGCAACTTTGCAACGTTTAAAGAACGCGTGTTGTGCGACCAAATAGTCAGCGGAATCAAATACGTAACCATGCAAACACGGCTGCGGGAAACGGCGTGCTTAACCTTTGAAACTGGGAAGAACACTGTCATAGCTATGGAGGGTGTGCATAAAGATTCACACGCATTGAACTGTCAGCAAGCACAGCTACGATCTGACGAAGCTCCGGAGCAAGAAAACGTCGCCTAGGGGGAAAAATGATAGCTGTTGCTTTTGTTGGGGGGGAGCTCATTCTACACGTCGCTGTAGGCACGGCAGCACGATCTGTCACAACTGCCGTAAAAAGGGCACCTTGCAAGAGTTTGCAGAGTTCAGCCGCGCAGCAGAAATTTCCACCAGAGCCAGTCTAGTCGCAGCCGTTCTAGTGGCGTGAACAACCTGGATGACCTTCCTGTCTCTGCTGAAGAGCCCAAAGTTTTCGACTTGTGGACGCTTCAACACAGCTAGTTCAGAGCCAATGCGCATAGCGGTTGAAGTTAACAGCGTAACGCTCGATATGGAGTTGGACATTGGCGCTAGTGTGTCGACCATTGATGAAGGCAAGTTCGCCGAGCTTTTTCCGTCGGTGCCGCTGAAGCCAGCAAGTGTACAGCTGAGAAGTTTTTTCGGCGACATGAAACTCGTCCAGCAAAAGCTGGAAGCAATGGTCAAGCTTGGCGACAAGGAGCGCCAGCTACCACTATTTGTAATGAAAAGGGCGTGTCCTACGCTGTTTGGACAAAGCTGGATGAAGGCTTTGAAGCTGGGCATCACTCAGAAGGGAGTCAACGTCGTGAAGTCTACGGAAGACGTGGTAAGCCAATATCACGAAATTTTTTTCGGAGCGGCTTGGTACGTTTCACGATGTTGCGGCTTTTATATCCGTACAAAAGGGTGCGAAGCCACGTTTTGTCAAGGCACGTCCGATACCATTTGCTTTGCGTGATCGGGTTTTTTAAGAACTACGGAGGATGGCACAGGAAGGCGTTATGAAACCTGTGAAAACTCAGTGGGCCGCGCCCATCGTTTCTGTATTGAAGCGCAACGGCCAGGTTCGGGTCTGTGGCGACTTTAAGACTATTATAAACACGGTGACAATCGTCAAGTCCTACCCTATCCCTAGGATTGATGAACTTTTTGCGCGACTTACAGGAGGCCAGAAGTTCACAAAGCTTGACTTGCAAGACAGGTCCCACTCGATGAGGAGTGCCAAGAGCTAGTCACCATTAACACTCCGAAGGGGTTACACCAATTCACAAGGCTGCCATTCAGAGTTTCATCAGCTGCCGCTATATTTCAGTGAGAGATTGAAAATCTTTTGCACGACCAGTGTACTTTGACGATATGCTGATCACAGGAACCAGTGACAAACAGCATGGGGAAAATATGGGCCGAGTGTTGGGCCGCCTGGAAACCGTGGGATTGAGACTGAAGTTATTCAAATGCGAATTCTTTAAATCAGAAGTCCAGTACTTTTGGTTCCGTAGTAGTGTCCCGAGAAGTCGCTGGAGCGCTGGCTCTGTTTGCTGTAACAGATCAGCAGCGCTCAGAGGCATTCGTTGTAAGTTCGATTTTCTGCCATTGAAATGTACTAGTTCGTGGCCGCACAGGTATCGTTCGTTTTAAGCGAAAGTGCATTTTAAGTGGCGCTGTTATATGTGGGCTCGACTGTAGTCTGAAAAATTGAACAGTTTGAAAAAATGGCTAGGACATAAAAAAGTCCTAAAAAAAGCCTAAAAAAAATCACAGTAGTGCCTTGCTGTGCTCGGCTGTTACATGCAACATAGACCTCAACCTACTCGGCGGCAGAAAAAGAGCAAGGGCTCACTGCCTTCAGGAAACCTATTTATTCCTAGCTAGAGCCAGTTTTCTAGATACTGCCATGTGTGGGACGATTGCCAAAGGAGCATTGGCAGTAGTCTGCGACCACCGAAGCCGTGTTGTCTTTGGTGTACCAGTCCGCCCTTCGCGAGATAACGAGCTGGCCATTGCACTTGCAGTGTGTGAAGGCCTGCATGCAAACAAGCCAGGGACGATACTTGCGAACTCCCAGCATGCCTGCAGGGCAGAATGGATGCTGCACATGTCTTTGCACAAATGGCAAGCGAAGATAAAGAGCAGGACACTCACCTGCACGCTAACCGTGCAGCTGATACACAACCCCTTACATTGACGGCAGTGCACCCAGAACCAGGTAGCCTCCAGTGTGCTGCAACACTGAATTCCCGTAGAGCCCACATATTAAGGTATCCAAGTGTCAAGAAAATACCATCGTAACAAGCGGATTAAGCGTAATAACGATGATCAAAATATTTTGTTTGTATGCAGTGCAACTGTGTACTTGCTTCACGCGTTTTCTCGAGAGCGTCTAGGTGCAGCACGTAGCTCAAATCCGACAAGTTGAAAATTTGGAAAATCTGTCGGCAACTGTAGCCTTTCCACAGGCAGGCTTCTTGCGTTTTAGCTTGTAGTGTTGATAATGTTGGCTAAAAGTCAGTTATATTCACTTTCAATGATGTATAGAAAAATTTTAAACTTGCTGTGTTCTGTTTTCATCATTCTTCTTGCGTTGTGCTAATCTGGGTGCAGTCGTCACTTTGAACGACGAATGAGTGACCTCGCTCGGTGTTGGCTTTGATGTAATGCTTATTTTCTCGTTGATAGGCTCTGGCCATGGCCCTCATCCAGTCGTACATGCGTGGTCGTTCTGATGACAGTGAGCTGCGAACACCTAGCCCCATCACAACACATGTCCCCATCAGCAGTACGCCAAAGTAAGTGCCCTATCATCAAGCCATGCATTAATTCGCTAAGCAAATTTTTTTTTGCTTTTACGTATGCCTCACCTAGTCAAAAAATACACATACATAATATTGACGTTGTTATGGTGCCTCAGATATGAGCAATAATTGCTTTTTAATTGTGAATCACACAAGTATGAACGCTGAACCTTGAGCAATATTGTTGGGCAGCGGATGGGGTCGGCCGTTTGAGTATCGTCTGGTCACTTTTGTGCGGTTTAGGGTACCGCTAAGGGTAGACAGACAGACAAATGTACAGATAGACAGACCAAAATTTTTTGCGTTGAAGGTCCCCAAAAAAGACTATCGTCTGTAAAAACACTTTTCTACCAATTTTGCGATTTCTGAACTTTGAGTGCGCTTTTATTTATTTATTTATTTATTTTCATACCTCAAGGGCCTCCTAGAAGCAGACATTACATGAGGGGTGGTACAAGTGACAGACTAGAACAAAAAACGAGGGTAGGGGTGAGGGGGAGGTGTGCTACCAACTTAACTATATACAAGACCGTTACAACAATGAGTGAAGAAGCATAAAAGAAACTACATGGCCGGACACGCTACATGTTTTACATTGGGACCAATCAGAGTTTAAACAGCTTGGATAACCGCGCTTTACAGCAGTACAATGGTGCAAACATACAAGTCAGAATGCAAACAACGGCAATGAGCTAGGTAGCTATAAATTTGGTAAAAACAGAAAACAATATGATGTCAGAAGGCAACGCTCCATTACTTCGCCTGCACTGACAACAATGAAAGTCAGAAAAACGGGAACTATAGAAACGACATGAGGATATTACACAATTCCGGGCGCGGTAAGCAGCGATTTAAACTGGTCAAGGTCTTTGGTCTGTACCACGTGAGCGGGAAGATTGTTCCAGTCTTTGGCTGACCGAACAAAAAAGGATTGCGCGAAAGTGTTAGTTCGTGGGCGGGGGTATGAAACTTGATGTTCGTTTTTGGTGCGAGTGTATACATGCGATTTTGGCGTGACGTAGGTGTTTGGTGATAATGAGTAATGAAACCTATGGAATAATGCCAGCCTTGCTAGTTTCCGACGGTTGTTGAGGGGAGGAAGGGACGCACGCGACTTGAGATTTGTGACTTAAGTAAAGAATGGCGCTTTTCGGACTCCTCCGAAAGATCAACTGAAAAACTTGTCTATTATTTTGCCTACCTCTAAGAAACCATTAAAATGGAAAACCGCATTAAATATTCGCCTTTAGGAGTTCAAGGCGATGGCGACATCCCGTTCCTAGTGCGAACTTCAAACACTTAGTGATGAAGAAGTGCATGAAACCTTTTCAAATTCGCTATGCACCCACTGCGTGGTCTTAAAGGAATAGGCGCATTAGCCTGTGTGTCTTCTGTAGTGGGGCACTGGCTTTTGACCGCGGAGCCATTATGATAGTCGCATATTCTGATGCTCGTTGGCAATGGAAGCTTGTACCACACATCATTACTGCAATATTTCATGTTGCATAGGGGAGCACATACACAGGATGCATGTGCTTGTGAAGCATGAAAGCTACTTTCACTGCATTTCCAAGCAGAGGGAGTTCTTTTTCATTGTTTTCACAAGCAGAGCATGGCCATGTGGTAGAACATCATCTGCTCGCCACGCAAATGACCTGGGTTGGATCCCCACTCCAAGCCAAACAACCCTGATTCAGTCCCCACTCTGCCCCAGAAATTTCTTATCGTTTATTTATTTTATTTGCGTCGTTCTCGATTTTCCGGTCATGCATAAGATAATAATTTTTCACTCACAACCAACGACACCAATTCATGCACCGAAATTTCTGGAAATGAGCTCTTTAACTCTATCGTTACCACATGAGAATGGTTGTTTTTTTATATGTCTCGGAAGAAATGTCTCAGAAGAAAAAAACACAAGAACGAACAAGTAAATACCAGGCGACTGACCCTCCCCGCCCAAAAACGCCGCTGGGGTTTTAACGTGCAGCCAAATCTAAGCACACGGGCCTACAACATTTCCGCCTCCATCGGAACTGCAGCCACCACAGCCAGGATTCGATCCCGTGACCTGCGAGTCAGCAGCCGAATACCTTAACCACTAGACCACCGCAACGGGGCAGCATTCCAAACTTTGCAGAATGAAATGCTCTTTATTATATTGCCACGAGGAATTGTTAAGGCGCAGTACAACGCAGACGTTGTTAAAAGAGGAACGCTGACGGCATCGCTACGACTCATGAAGCCCGCCGGAAGGCACGAGCCGGCCCAGCCTGTGCACGAGCTGCTACCGAGCAGCGGAAAAGAAGAGAAGAAGAGGACGACGAGCGTTCGCTGCTTTCTCCCAGCTACTGTGTAGTTCTTTTGGCTTTGGGCACAAGTTCGCCCTTATTAAACCTTGTAAATAGGACGTCCCGGTTGTGAGGTTGTTATATCCGTTACATTTTCTGGTGGAGGTGCTGGGTACATGATTCCGAGCCCCACGCAAGAGCGAAGTCCAAGCACTGACCAGCCGCAACCAGTGGAGCTTACACCGGTGCACCAACGAGTCAGCCGCCGTATCCGAGGAGAGTTGCCAGAATTTGGGCCACTCCCTTCTGTATCAAGGGCATCGGTGACGGAGACAAGCGCCGCCACCACCATGACGAGCCAAGTTACGCCGGCACAACTCATCGTAAGCCAACCGGTCATCCCAAAGGTGTTTCATGGTGACCCATACGAGGACGCCGAAGACTGGTTAGAGCATTTCGAGAGAGTGGGAAATCTAAATCAGTGGAACGAGGAAGGCAAGCTGCGTAACGTCTACATTGCGTTGGAAGACTCTGCACGAGTGTGGTACGAAAACCACGAGGCATCTCTGACGTCGTGGCAAGAGTTTCGGCGGCAGCTACTGAGTACGTTCGCCAACAGTGATCGCCGGGAAAAGGCGGAAGCAGCTCTCCGCACACGGATTCAACGAACGAACGAAACTGTCGCGATGTACATCGAAGACATGTCCCGCCTTTTCAAGCGAGCTGATCCTGGCATGACGGAAGACAAGAAAGTGCGCCACCTCATGCACGGGGTAAAGCAAGAATTGTTCGCGGGACTCATCCGCAATCCGCCCCGTACTGTTGCTGAGTTTCGGTCGGAAGCAACAACCATCGAAACGACGCTTCAGCAGAGAGCCCGACAGTACAACCGCGACGTAGCCGGTGCATCCGCAGGAGTCTACTCAGCAGGCGTCGTGGATAATCTTGACACATTGCGCGAGCTCGTCCGGTCTGTTGTCAGGGAAGAATTAAGGAAACTGCAGTCACCTGATGTCACCCCCGAGCTGTCTCTTGCTGAAGTTGTCCGAGACGAAATTCGACAGGCCATGCGGGAGCCGCGGAGTGATGTGCCGGCGACACGACGGGCGGTAACGTACTCCGAGGTGCTCAGGCGACCTACTCTGCACTGTTCGCCGATCGAGACACCAAGTACTTATGTGCAGACAATGCGCAGCCCGCCTGAAATCGTAGAGGCAACACGCACTCCACCTCGTGCGAGAGAGATGATGCCACGGAAGAGCGATGTGTGGCGAGATGCCACACGTAGGCCCTTGTGTTTCCACTGTGGAGAGGCTGGCCACCTGTACCGATTCTGCCGATATCGTCAAGCTGGTCTTAGGGGATTCGCCATCAATGCACCGTGTCCGCGAAACGGCGAAAGACCTTCCGAGATTGAAGAATACCTATGCTCACGTCGGGAATTTGACCCGCCTCGTCGTCATCAACCACGCTCACCATCCCCTATGCGCTACCGCTCGTCTAGCCCACGTCCCTTCCCAAGCACGTCTAGGCAGCGTTCGCCTAGCCCAAATCCGGGAAACTGAAGAGGGCGACCTGTGGAGGCGAGGCCGCTGGCGACTTGGGATGTGAAGATCCTCCACTGCGGTACGAGCCTGATAACGACGACTGTTTCCAGGTAAAGGAGTGCAGTACAGAGAAAATTACTTCAGACTTGCCGTTGGTGATTGACGGACTAGAGCTCAATGCTTTGATCGATACTGGTGCGGATTATTCTGTGATAAGTTACGAATTAGCGAAGCGACTCAAGAAAGTTCTGACCGAATGGGGTGGACCTCAAGTACGTACTGCAGGTGGTCACCTCATAACCCCTTCCGGCCGATGTACCGCAAGGGTCATGATACGGGGCTTCACTTACGTCGGTGACTTTGTCGTCCTGCCTGTGTGCTCGAGGGAAGTGATACTGGGAATGGATTTCCTACAAGCTAATGGTGCGATTATCAATTTACAGAGGTCGAGCGTGTCCTTTTCGACGGAGCAAGCTTTAAAGGTAGCACGATCAGATGAACGATGTACCACTCCACTGCGCGTCGTCGACGATGATGTGACTGTACCGCCACGGAGCAGTATAATGGTTCTCGTGCATAATGATGCATTCAGCGACTACGAGGGTGTGGCGGAGAGCAACGTGGATGTTTTCTTGAAAAGAGGCGTTTGTGTGGCACGAGGGATTATCCAGCTGCGAAACGGGTGCACAGACATCCTCTTGACGAATTTCGGTAACGAATTCCAGCACATCGCAAAAGGGACGGCAATAGCGTTTCTTCATGAGTTCTGTGAAGTGACAGAAATATGCAGTCTTGAAACGACGTCACCGAATGTGAAACTTCCATCTGATGCCTGCGACACAATATACGTAAATCCTAATCTTTCAGAGATTCAACGTCAACAGCTATACGACCTCGTGCGGGAATTTGGCAGCTGTTTCTCCAACAGTTCAAAGGTACGGCGCACGAGCATTACAAAACACAGGATCATAACGGACGAGACAACCAGGCCGGTATGCCAGCACCCGTATCGTGTTTCCCTTAAGGAAAGGGAAGTCATCAAGAAGCAGGTACGAGAAATGCTTGAAGATGATGTTATCCAGCCTTCTAACAGCCCGTGGTCATCTCCCGTGGTGCTTGTCAAGAAGAAGGATAACACGCTACGGTTTTGTGTCGA